TACTCAAAGGCAGCAAGTGGACCAATACACATGAGGAACAACATACGGATTATCTCAAATAGCTGCACTTTCAATACACCAAAGCAAACTCAGCAGGTTAGTCATACCTGTCAAATATTGTAACTGAAGTTCAACTGACACTGGGAGGAACTGGAGCAAGCAGATTTGATTTCTGACCAATGGACAAATGATTCATATCATTTACTCAGTGGATGATGAACTACCGAGATCTTTAATTTTATTAAATGCATAAAATGCTGTATTACAAGTAAAAGATCTGCATTCAAAATTTTACTTGAGTACATAAAAATGACAAAGTGTACTGAAAATATCAAAAATAAATGTACTGATTGAACAAAATGGCCCCATTTAGAGAGTTAGAGGGACTATTGTTAAAGCATTTTCTTATATTGTAGCTGCGGTGGAGCTAATATGGATACATAATCTATATTAAACTGAAACAAGAAATGTCGATTAATTTGGGAGTGACAGACAAGCACATGTTTAGTAGTGGTAACAGTTTGTGCCTTTAAAATATTATTGCAATAAAGCAACAGCAGTGTGTAATTTTGTTGTAGCTGGTCCTGGTGGTGCAGTAAAGTCAGACAGCTTTATTGTTTAGTAGTTGCAACTATAATAATCATCATTTGATGAATGTAGTGGGATAAAAGAGTACAAAGTAGTACTTCAAGTACACGTAACCTACCTTAAAGTATGTGAATAAATGTATTTAGTTACTGTCCATCGCTGATTTCTGCAGCACTTATAAATGATGTTAAAATGGTTATACTGGCTTTGCAGAGTTGAAAATCTGAAGCTCTGAAAGTGGTTTTGTCTTTTACTTCTTCAGAAATTGTCTATTGCTATTGTCTTTTTTTAGGGACATTGTGACCTGTAGCAGCACACAATCAAGTGAAAAAGTACAGTCAGTTATCCAGATAATTATTTCTGTGAGCCGAAGTGAGAGTTTCTAAGATTTTGAGCTGTCTGTTACATTTTGTTTCCTAAAGAACCTAATGTGCTACACTTTCTAATAATATTACACATTAATATCAGCTGGAACCTCAAGCCGTCTGCTTTCATACTCGAACTACGCATTTTTAATCAAATCATCATCTGTTTCTAAGCTTTACATGAACAGAATGCTTGTTGAGGAGGCATCGACTGTGAAATATAAATATTTAAATGAAAAAGACCTGAATGAAGCTCGTTGAACATAATTTTTTCAGTAACAGAAATTGGCATAAACAACCTGAGTCTTGAGCTTTAAGTGAGCATCTCTGGTACTTGAATAAAAAATGAATCAGCTTTGAGTCCCTGTAGAAGAGAGCACTTAAGCTTCAATTAGGCAACAGCATGTTATATGTTGCATTCATTGAAGAAATTAAAACTGTTCATGGTCCAGAGTTTTATAGTAATGATGAGATCCTTTTACTTTAAAAGACACTGAACACACAATTTAAGCAAAGTATGACGTGGACTTGGAGTATGAGGTTGGAAAAATAAACTTCTGCCTTTTTGGTATATTTGTAAATAATTTATTTCATTCAGTTTGAGTGAAACAATGTCAAATTGTTATGCAAGTTACATTTTCCGCCACGGTAACACTCTTTACATACACTGTACAACAAAATTAATAATGATAATATACAAAAACAAAACTAAGAAGTGGTTTTATGTGTACACAACTGTGACTTTAAGCTAATAAATACTTACAGTACATTTGTAGCTTCACAATGGTATGCACTGCACCAGTGTTACAATATAATTCAATTACAACAAACCAAACAAATCAACCCTCAGTTCTTAAATACACACCACACAATATCCAGTTTTTAAATAAACAAATCTATATTACACATATTTCAATACTGAATAGTTACTGTAAGTGCACATTAGAATGATTGTTGATTCAATGTCCCTTTTTAATATCATCTCACTGATACACAACAACCATGCCAGGTTACAAAAAGACTTAAAAGGTAATATCTAGCAACAGTGGCTGAATTTTAAAATACTGTATACGAAACCTGTTTTTTTTCATACGTACAAATCTATTTCACCATCATGAGACGTACATTGGCAAATTCACACAGTTACATAAATTTTTACTGACAACAGAAGAAGGGCACAGAACAATTTAAGGAATTACAATACAAGAGGAATACCCTTGTAAATCTGAAGCTACAGCTAGCAGTCGGTTAGCTTAGCTTCGCACAGGGACTTTTCATAGGTAGAAACAGCTCGCCTAGCTCTGTCTAAAGGTAACAAAAGCTCACTAATTATCTAAGTATCTTATCATTAAATCTGTACGAAAGCCTGAGTGTAAAAACGAGTTGTGGTTATGCGTTTGACAGTTTCTTGGCCAGGAACAGTTAGCTTCCTGACAACAAGACTTCACAGGAAAGAAATATGACATTTTAATTTGTGTGCGTTTGAGGAGGTCATATGCAGATTTTGTTACTTTCAGAAAAACTATGCTAGCCGTTTCCACCTGCTTTCAGCCTTTGTGCTAAGCTAAGCTAACTAGCTGCTCGTTTCAGCTAAATATTTACCCTGCAGACATGAGAGAGGTATCAGCCATTTCAGCTAACTCTTGGAAAGAAAGCAAATAAACATTATTCCAAAATTCTTTTAAGCTTTTGTTACCAACCAAACATCAAATATGACTTTGCTCTTTGTTTCCTCTTCATCCTCTCTACTCCTCTTCAATTTCACTTGATTCAGACAGAACGTGAGGTGAATTTTGAATTGAATACAAAGTCAATGTTACAACGCTATTGGAAGGAAATTCATGTCCACGCAAGTTGAAAAATGTTTCAACTTGGTGAAAAATCATATCCAGGGGCTTTTTTTTTTTTTTTTTTTTTTTTTTTTTAAAACTGTTCCATACCCGTACAGAGACAAGAGGAAAACAGAGAAAGCCTGGAGGGAAATAACAAAGAACTGGGGATTCTGGTGAGTTATGAGTTCAGTCAGAGGCTGAGCTGAACACCAACACAGAAACACGCTCCCACAGATATGGTTGGTGCGTCCATTGCTAGCTAGCATACAGCTAATGTCTGTACAGTTGGTAAAATACATTGGCTGTTTAGAGAAAGTAAATACAGTCTATCCAGAAAATGGCAAAATTAGCATGAATGATGCAAGGTGAAACTTTGCTTTCCTTGTGTGTTGGAACACAGCTTTATGTATGACCCCTTAAATCGGCAGTGGGTTGAGATGATGGTTTTTTGCAGGTAAAACTGGACTGAACTGGATGTTCCCTGTTGCACAAGCATTGAAGTGACTAGTCTACCCTTGTTAGATTAAAAGACCGGTGACAGCACCAGTCATCCTTGTAACCTTGCTTTGCTTTTACATACATACTGTCAAGTTCAACTTCCTTCAAATGAGAAATTTGAACCTGGCACGTCAGGAGAAGTCAGGAAATATTTTGCACAATCAAAGGATGCTGGAGTTAAAGCTAATGTCAGTCTACCAAAGCATCAACAAGAAAGGTTCTCGTCAAACTGCATGTAATACTCTTTATTATGAATCCAAGGACTGTTTTAAAATGCAATGCAGGGTCTTCTATTTAGCTTTTATGCATGACAATAAAACACTGGCTGCTACATAAACAAGCTTGTACAAGAGAATTTTATGTACCTGGCGCAGCATTAAATCTCACGTTGCAGTAACATGAACAAAAACAATTACAGTGACATATTACTGATATTGTAGCCACAAAGCAATCAGTATGGCACAACAGTCCATAGTAATTTATTATACTTTACACCGTATACTTGCTGTACAATGGTAAATGACTCCGGACAAGTAAATGTAAACATTCGAGGACTGAATTGCTTAAAGGCATTTCCTCTCCACAGCTGCTTTTCAGCCCCACAGCCAGTGAAGATTGGATTGAAAGTGTCACTTCGAAATACTGAAACAGGCACTTGTCAGCGATCAGCACAAAACTGCCAGAGTGCCTCAAATAATAAAACACATGAACCTTACCACAGGCTCAGAGTCACACACAACAAGAGGGAAGGCTGTACTGATGAAATGGAAGGCAAAGGGCAATCGGTCTCTCATGAGAGTGATAGTGCAGAGAAGGGCATTTGTACTCCAAACCCATCGTTGTGAATCAGCGTCACACTGGTCACCTGGTCTGAAGCCGCAACCATTTGGCATGTATGGAAATAAAGTGTCCTGCTGGTTATCAGCCAGTTTCTCTTTTCCTGTCTTCCTACACAGTGAGGAAAACAAAATGTTGCACACTGATTTGTTCTTTTTGGTTGCCTAAACAAATGCTTTGAAACATATTGTGCTCAAACACAAACCCCATAATGCATTCCTGGTACTTTTCTTCCACTGTGATGTCAGTGCACACACTAAGAATATAAATAACAGGACTTTGTGTTAAAAACCATCAGCTCCCTCTCTTCCAATGGTTGTGTCTTTGCACCAGCCTTGATCATTTGAAGCTACAGGAATCCACTAAGTGATTTTTAATCAGCACATAATTAGATCAGATTGTGTGTCTGCTGGTGGAGTTCACATTTGGATCCCTCACCTAACCCCATTAATATGTGACATTTTGCTTTGTCCAGTGTCAGAGCACACAGGGAACTTAATATCAATTGACCAAATGAGCCACAACGATATGACTCATAAATTCACCTGTACAGGCACTGAGTCATGAAATGAAGGACAAAGATTCAATGATCCGCATTCAAATGTGCAGAAGCTGTGCTTGTAAAGCAATGCATTTGTATTTTTGTCACTTTAACTTAAACCTTTTTTTTTTTAAATAAGCGTGGAGATTAAAAGCTGCTTAGAAAGTGATTACTGTCACACTGTCGTCTAAAATCTTTTTTTTTTTTTTTGTGCTGTCATCACTGTCCTTTATCCCTGTTACACTCAAGCATCACATCCTCCACTAGTGCATGTGTTAATGAGAAAGTGTGTGTGTGTTTTTTTTTTTCTTCCAGAGCTCACATATGCTGTGTCCCGCCTGATGTTTGGCACGAGAGTATTTTGAACAGCATGTACGTCTGTATCACCGTTCGCGTGAGTCAAATGCTAGACAAGTCGTCATGACAGGAGGAGGAACCCCGGCGAGTTTTTGGGCTGCATTGTGTCAGCATGTTGATCTGGGTGCTGAAGTTGTTGCTGCTGCTGCCAATAGACGGGTGTTGGTATTTGGTGTCGGAGGTCATGTATCTCTGCAGGTGCCACCTCCGCCATTTCCTCTTGATCTCTCCTTGGACCTACGATGGATTAGAACAGTAAGAAGTCTGGGTAGCAGCTTATAATAAAGCCAGTGATTCACCATGTAATCTTGTACCTGTTGTATAAATGAGGAACCAATAAACCAGGCATGGTGTGCCACAGTTTTAAAGAAGGGGGGGGGGCGTATCTGTAAAATGAGTAATTATGACCCACATTAAAAAAATTACAGTGAAAAACTGGCAGCAGAGATGCCATTTTACAGTGCATGTACTGTGAATTATTTTAACAGTACATTACTGTATAATGGATTACAGAGTTTTACTGTAATTTTAAAGAGTACAATCTATCACTTTTGCATTTGATTCCTACAAATCCCCAAATTAAAAAAAAACAAACTTAAAGCAAGACAATACACATTTAATAAAATATTGCTGTAGTTTATTACATGTCCTGAAACATTTGTATCACAAAACCGACAAGGTACTGCATAACCATATTATAGAGAAGTCCCCAATAAAATCCTCATATGCTGAAGTATAACAGCATCACGAACAGTGCAACAGAACTATCACAGTCTAGCATGGAAACAAGTCTTTTGCCCAAGTGAATGTGAACTGCATGACAGCAAAAGTGAAACGCAGAAAGAAAGAAGAGAAAGTGACCAGTGAGCGAGGATGAGGATACAGAGTTTGGCTGGTATCCTCAATCACCAATGACGAGTGCCTGTAAGGCAAACGAACAAACAATAAAAAAAATTTAGGAACAGAAAAACACGGCATGTTAGCGAAACACGACAATACTAGGCTAATATGACAATGTCATTCAGTTTAAATGAACAGACACAATAAAATGTGTTTAATCTGGTTTAATAATAATAACACTCTGACTCACCTCACTTCTTTATCATCGAGGAGCACTTTAGTAAGTCCAGGTCCTCACTTGCTTCTGAAAAATCTTCCCTTCCTTCCCATTTGTAGTTGTACAGTCAACTCTGTACAACAAGTAAACACAAGTTAGCTACATACTTACACTGCAGTGGGCGAGTAATGTTAATAAAGTTAACTTTACTGGCTGTTGGCTGCCTTCAGTTGACTGTTAACTAGTTAACTGTTTAATGAAAAAGGCTGGAAACAACATCTTTGCTGTTAGCTAGCTCATATTTCTCGCACTACAGAACTTGTATTTGTACCAATTTTAGTAATCTAATGCAATGAAAGAGACCTAATGAAACTTTATCTGAAAGCTCAACAGTTCAATAATCATGCAGGGAAAACAAAATACCGGACAATGCTAATTAAGTGAGATAAGCATAATGTTACCTTCTTGGCTGAAGTCTGTGGGAACGGCTCCATACTGAAGCTGTGCTTGCGGAAGTCAAGCTCAGAAATAGCGAGACGCATCTTGTCATTCAAAAATGAGCTGTATGAGAAGTTCGAGTAATAAAAAAATCACCAAAACAGAAACATTAGCTCACAATAATCGGCACCATGATGATGGAAAGAGACTGGAGTTACAAGGGGATGATATCGCATCTCTTTGAGGTGGTTTTGTTCATCACTTTAGCCATTTTTTGCGGTTATTTGTCACTTTGTGTTTGCCTCTCTTTGTAGCATTTTGTGCGTCTTTGTAGTCGTTCCATTGACTTTCCGACCAGAAATGTGAAAAGACACTTCATACAGAAGCTTTGATCCAAGGGTCCTCCGCCTGTACACCCAGGAAGCCTATTCAGTAATCCATCCATTATACCAACAGGCCAGCTGCCTATCACCTTGTGACTCTGGTGGTGGTAGTGATGGGGGGTGCCCTTCCTCTAAAATGTTCAGTTGTTACTCCTTTGTTCCCCATGGTCTTGTTTTCTTCCACAGTAGCTACATTTAATTATTGTGAACCTTTTTTTTTTCCCCATTTGTATGTCTCTTCCACTGACCTGCATAAGACAATAATAATACAACGCATACCAAGTTCATAAAGGCTTTGAGATGTGTTGTTTAGAGCACCTGTTCCTCTTTCCATGCAAAAAAACAAAACAAAAACTGCCTAGTACCTAAGACGTGATACAGTTTACATTAAACAAGAAGAGAAGAAGAAGAACTAGGTGTTGCATGGCCAGCAACCAAAGCTGAAGAGCTTTCCAACTCAGTGTAGGAATATGAAAAATAAGCTCCCACATAAAGATTACGTTTCATTCTGGTAAGACAGAGGAAAGTGAACTAAAACGTAAAGGGACCTTCTGCAGCATGAAAGTAGAGGGAGCATTAGCATTGCCTCACGAAGATGATAAGGCACTGAGGAGTGATGCAGAGTTTTTTTTTTTTTGCTCTAAATCTGGCAGGTTTTACTGTACAGAGTAAAGTTATTATATTGGATGTATGTCTACACTAAGCCGATTTTCAAATCTGTTGCAAAGCAGTGATTTGAAAAGCTTTGCAAAAGATCTTCTTTTTCCCATTCAAGCCTCATTCTTCTGAATTTTCAATGTATGTCATTGATGAAAATTGCACTCCACTGACTGCATTTCCATAAAGTTTGAAGATTCAAATGAGACAGATTAAAAAAAAGAATGTATCCATTTACTAAGTATAATTGACCCAGACTGTGCACTTGCAGTTTTGGGCTGGTCTGAAAACTCCCTAAAATGTCTAATATTCTGTATGTTTTTCCCTAAAAAGTGTTATTTTGAGAGACCGGAAGTAACTTCATTCCTTGTTTTAGGAAATGGCTCAATGGCCCTGTTCAGACCTGACATTAACATGCGTCTAGGGTGATCTGATCACCGGTGGACAGCTCTATGTGCACCAGTTCACACCTGGCCTTCGCAAGGGTCTCTATTTGCATCTCGAGATAGATCGGATCGGATCTCACTCCCCTGCTCTATATGCAAATAAACATGTATGCTGTTATTAGCCAATTGGACTGTGACAGACGGGTCCGTGTTCAATGTGTTTGTGCGTATCAGAGAGAGCAACAGAGAGAGAGAGAGCGGGACACAGAGAGACTGAGGGAATCATTGCACTGGGCACAATGAAATAAGGTTTTAGCTGTTTGAAATAGTCATATTTTCAGTTCATTATGAAACTGTGGTGGGACTTATTAAACTGTGTCAGAGGACAGCAGTTGAGTAGGTGTTCATTCAATGCGGCCAAGGACGCATGTGTGTTCACACTGCTAAAAGAATGTGACCACATGAGGCCGAGACCACCTCTGAATGTGGTCTGAGTGATTGGATCTCGAATTTATCTTCAATGCATCTTGGGTGCGTTCACACCTGTACATTTAAATGCCAAGTTTGGACAGGGCCAACGATATGGTTTCCTGTTTTTATTTAGAGGAGATTAGATACTCCACATCTGGCTCGGGCAGTAAATTCGCTGGTGTCCCTTTATTGATTTTATCAGAAAGCAAAGTGACTCGGCCGCAGCTAAGTGGTGTAGGTTGATTTATGTGTCCCTCTTCAGTCTGGCTTAATGTACAGTCCTTTTGACCAGCCCTTTAAATCATTCTCATTGTACATTTCTGGACTGTGATAATAATCCCAGCCTGTGTGGACACTGGAGATGAGGCATATTTGGCCTTGCATGAACAATTACTTACTACTTTGGTAAGCTTTTTTTAAAGTGTGTGTGTGTGTGGGGGGGGGGGGGGGGTAATGAATAAGCTCTTCTTGGGCTTTTTTGTCTTCTTGCATAATACTTATGTTTATGCCCTTTGTTTCTTTTTGTTTTCATAGATAATTCCTGTAATTTCTGTCTTTTGTTGATAAAACATTCCACATGTTTTGTTGTGGACTGTATACCACTCTTGAGGCTCCATTGATTTAAAGACTACACCACCAAGACACAACACCTAACAAAGGACACCTGGAAATTGCACCGGATTAAAATTCAGGCAGCATAGTGTCAAGGCTTGCCATCCGGCCCATCACTTTGATTCAATCTGGCCCAGCGCTGGAAACAGAACTAATCTGCCCACAGAGAGCCTCTGCAGACATCACTGAATAGCTCCCTGCCATAAAGGATGTGCTTTTTACAGCCCTCCCACCCTGCAGGCAGAGCATGGAAAATATACCGCGAGCAGCCCAAGGCTGGAATGACCAGCGGTGGTGACGCATACTCACAGCGCCGTCCACCTTTCAGGCCTGTGTCTGTAATGGTGCACCGGGGGAGCCGCAGAGAAACTACATTTTCTGGGAATTACCACAGCAGCACTGTGGGCTATCTCTGCATGGGAATCTTGACATGTAACAGTGTGTGTATGTAAACTGTTTACATCACTGTGTGGGGGGTGCCTACCTCTCCGTTGAGGAAGCAGTAAAGGACTGCAACCACAAAGCCCTAAAAGGGGAAGAAAAACATAAATAAGAGAGCTGTTATGGTAAAAAACTCCAGTTAGACTTTACAGCTATTTGCTAATTTAAGAATAAAGTGTGGCATTCATGAGACGTAAATGGATTACACTAACAAAAACAATGCATACCATACGATGGCTAGTTTATAGTAATAATGATAAGGGGGGATGAGAAGAATGATGGGAGGAATGTGCTGGAATAGTTTCCTTGGTTTCCAGGCGGCCTGTAATGCAGCTGTGCTGTCGAGCTGCACTCTCCATCATTCCTCATCCTTATGTGATGAACTGAAATAACACCGGGGGCTTAAAAAGGTAACACTGCCACTGAATCGGCCAGCAAAATGCCTGGAGACCTGCCACAATTTTCTGCCAGGGTTTTGTCAATAGTCAAATAATTTTACTTTGGACCCGAAATGGACTTCTGTTTCAGAATTAAATAAACATTTTTTTTTTTCAGTGTAAGTTGACCTTCTGGGGAAATATTTCACAAAAGGCATCCAATTTAAATTCTAATATAAGAGTTCAAAGTGAAATTTGCAAAATGTAAAATGTAGCATTTTGTTTTTCTAATCACTTGTTCTTAAAAAGTTGATGTCGTACCTGAAATGACCCTAGAATCAAGTCAAAAACTAGCCGCAGTTCAGTCTTCACTTGCTCTGGGATGAATGCAAACACAATAAAATTGATCCCAAACAGCGGAATCAAAAGCAGCGTTGATTTCGCCAACCTCCTGAAACGACAAAGGAAAAAAAAACACATTCGCATTTCTCCCTCTGGTGAAACCAATTTTAAGTCTGTCTCTACATGTGACAATAATGAAATGCAACTCCAGAGTACTTTTCATTTTTACATTTCAACTCAGAGGAGTTGGATGGACGAGAGATGGAAAAACGCATCATTAAAAATGTCAGTGGGAAAATAGCTCATGCGTTGCAGCTGGCTCTCCAACACAGGAAAAAATCACTTAAACACACAGAGCACTATATCTCTGCATAAAGCAGCTGCCAGGGGGAGACTACACTGTTCTGAGCATCACATGCTTAGTTTTTCTTTTCTGAAGTCTAAAAGGATTGGTCATCCTGTATTGCTCTGAGCATATAAAAGAGTTAAAGGGAGTCACAGAAAAAAAAAAATTAAATTTACAGCACCAGTTGTACCTACAGGACAAATATATGTATTTTAATTTCAGCTTTCTTTACTTATTCAAGATAATCTTCATTTATTCTGTGAGTGCAGTTCACTTTCACAGATTGTAGACTGAATTCAACCCAACACAGAAAACTGTTTAAGTGGTGTAGAGGATTCACAATGTCCTTAGATGGATCAATAATATTTCATCTTATCTCAGCTGATGAATATTTTATTTTACAGCATGAAACAGACATGAAATCAGACTCACGAGTACTGGTTGGACTCATTTCTTCCGATATCTGGGCAGTTGATCTTCTGGCGTAGTATTCGAATGATGCAGATGAAGAGAATGAAGTTCATCTGTGGAGAATATCCAACTGTGAGGACAGTGTAGGGGTATTTTACAGTGTAAAGGGGGTTTAATGCTGCTGGTTAATGAAATATTTCTTTAAAAATATTACATTTTTCCAATATGATATTCCTGGATGGAAAGAAGCTTGTTCTAAAGAAAGTCACTACTTCTCCTCTTTATGTTTTCAGTCAAATCAAATGGATTTGGGGGAACGTTTGAGAAATTCAGCTCATAGAAGCCAGATGCTGAATTTCATCTTGCTCTGATTGGATTGTAGTGCTGCCCTGTGGGAAAATGAGCATTTCTAAATTGTTAATTTGGGTTGGACCTCTGAACCGGCAACACATCACTCACATCATGATGCACTCACAAACATCACTCAGCAGCTGCAGAGAGAAAGAGACAGAGCGACCTGACAGCCCGGCCGCTCATGCTGATCCTAATGTGAAATAACACAACTGAACCTGCTTTGTCAACAACTGCTGCAAGGAAACAAAAAAAAAAAAAAAAAAAGACAAAGCAGGACCTCAGCAGACATCAGTAAAGGATGAGAATTTGATCTCAAAGACTGTTTGCTTTGTGTATACCATAAAGTCTTTTTTCAAATCTGGTGGCGCAAATACTGAATATCAGGTTGTCAGTGTAATAGTACCAACAATACCACACACTATCATGTCTGTGGGGTAAATATGAAGCTAAAGCCAGCAAGACTGGAAACAGGGAAAGAGCCAGTGTGGCTCTGTCCAAAGGTAACACAATCTCAACCACCATCTTTGAAGTTCCCTTATTAACCAGTTATATTTCATTTACTGTAAATATGTAGATGCTTGGTGTTTGTATTCCCTTTAAAGTTTGACAATGCGTCTTGTGGTTCTTATGGTTTCCTTGAATTTTCTTGAAAGGAACTAATATGTTACTCTAAATTTTATTTAATTGGTATCAAGAATAGGGAAAATAGAAACATTATTCAAGTAGTACAACTGCTAAATTCAAATTCATTTCCTAGTTAATTTAATTTCCATAACCTAGAGTCCAACAAAAAAAGTCTACTAAAGAGTAAAAGACGGTCCACAGTCATGCTAGCTCTGTCAGGCTATACCTGCAATAATATTTTGAGTTGACCTTAATGCTAATACAGCATGCTAACTTGCTCAAAGTGACAATGCTAACATGTTGCTGTTTAGCATATATGTTTACTATGTTCACCTTCTCAGTTTTTGTTATTATGCTAACATTTGCTACAGCACTGCCGGCCCTAGAGCCGTGCTGCTAGCACGGCTAATAAGAAAATATGTAAAGAAATAAGAATACAATTGAACACATATGGAAAATAAAGCAAAATTAAATGTTTTCTTGGGGTGAAATGAAGCAGCTCTTTCAAATAAATTATTTCAGAAATAAATAACTGCTTAGAAACTCAATGAAACTAAACAAAAAAAAAAAAAGAGCTATTGTCCCTGTAATTGGTGTCAAATTTAATAGTTCTATTAGGAAATTTCCTAGATAATCAATAGGAAATCACAGATGTGTATTATACAGCATTAATAACACAGTGCAAAAATGCTGGGCTGGATGCAGTTCCTGTACTATAAGTAATTTTTCCTGTCACAACTTAACATGCTCCACTGTAGCTTCTCAAGTCAGGCTTGTTGAACTCATCTCTACCCTCCTCTTCACACCTCTCTGAAAGTGTCTTCTTTTATCACTCCTCACACATCCACAAATTTGTTCACACGCACACCAACACAAACACAAACACACACGCACACAAACACACACTGCGGAGTGTCAGTTATTTTAAGAAAAGTATGCTAAATATGAAGCCAGGAGCCTGTTAGGTTATTTTTGCACAAAACAAGGGTAAGCAGCCAGTCAGCTTCAAAATCTAGCCACCAGCCCCTATAAAACTCACAAATAAACACATGATATCTTGTTCAGTACAAAATGGAAGTATTGAACTGATAAACTGTGGTTTTGTAGGGGTAAATGGTCAAACTATATCTTGGCAAGGAGCAGCGACTCCCTACAGATGTTTTTCTACCTTTGGACAGAGCTAGGGGCCGTTTCCAGTCTTTGTGCTAAGCTAGGCTAACTGGATGCCGGCTGTAGCTATTTGTGTAGACATGGTATCAGCCTTGTCATAACTTGCTGCAAGAGAGTGAAAAGCCATATTTCTCAAAATATCCTATTACAATATTAGAGTGAGCCAGGAGGCAGTTAGGTTCGCTTTGCATAAAGTCTGGCAGCAAGGAGAGACAGCTAGCCTGATTTAACTTGACCTTATAAACCTCATTAATTAATATGTTATATGTTGCTTATTTAACCTGTACACAAAGAGTTACGTGCTTCTTCTTGGAAAACAGCGGCTGAACTGTTTCCTTGCTGCCAAGATCATCGCCTCTTATGACAAGCTCCATATTTAACACACAGCTATGAGAGTGATATTGATCTTCTGATGTCACTCTGGGTAAAAAAAAAAAAGAAGAAGCAAATAAGGGTATTTCCAAAAATGTCAAACTAGTCCTTGAACACCCAAAGTAAATCAAAAGTCTGACTATTTTTTGGGTGAATCAGACCAGTACATCTACGAACATCCCTGTCTTCAACCTCTCTGTATGCGGCTGTCTGACGATGATGATGATGTTTCTGTAGAGGCTGTTACTGTGTTCAGAATGGGAATGGAGGGAAAGACGGCAATGAAGATGCTGTAAAATTAAGTGGATGATGACCTGTCAGTCAAGAAAGACTTGATGGAGATTCTTCTGCCAACTTTGCAAAGTGAAATGAGAACTCTGAGGTCATGCTAACCTCTCATTTGCACTGACATACAGTAGGACTACCAAAAAGATTTGCAGCTCAAAAGCATTCACATAAATTACACTGACAGTTAAGTCTGGGGTGGATTGATGATAACTGACACGTTTTTCTCTCTCACTGGCAATTGGTTTTACTTTTGGAAAAGTCTGACTTGGGAGCTCAGTGTGCCTAAATGTTGATGTAATAGAGTTTGAGTGATAAAAAGGTGCTTAAGGCTTATTAACTTACCAGGATTGATGCTAAAATAGGAGTTTTAATGATCCACCAGAACACATCGGTGTTCTCTATTATATCCCAGCATCTGGTAAGACATGAAACAATATTCATGTACAAGATGCGATGATGCAAATCACAGCAAAAAAAATAAAACCTTTAGATTTCATGCTGCCAATTCGCTGGTGCTTTTCTTACCCCACATCATTGTAGTAGGCTTTAGCGATGCTCCAAGCTGTGATGAAAATTGTCGGACCTCCTGGGAAAAAAAAAAAAAAAAAATGCACAACAAGGTTATTACTGCATTCCACCAACAAGGGGTCACGACCTGTAGTCAGTCCTTCAGCGGACAGTTAGTGTGGGGACAGCAGAGGCGTATAAAGGCACAAAAGGAAGACATTCTCACCCCAGCCGATCAGAATGTAAGCCCAGAAGTACTTTCTCTCCGAGAAGAAAGAGACGGCCAACAATGCGTGAAGGTAAAGGCCTTCTACCAGCAGCCAGAAGAAACTGGCCATAATACAGTATTGGAAGAACACAATCACTGCTTTGCAGCCAACCTGGCGATGGACAGAATACACAAAAGCATAAATTACACAGTTATCATCTGAGATACACAGGTGGATACATAATGAACGAGAACAAGATTTCAACAAAGCTATTAAAGTGCCATTTCATTCTCTTCAGTGACAAAAAAAATTTGAAAAGAGGAAAAACTCATGGAAATGCATGAAAAAATTGATGCAGGCTGCCTGTACTCCAACTTCAAAATAAAAATGACAATTAATGTCTTCTTCGTGATTCAGCCGAGCACTTTAACACAAACACATGCATAATCAAGTGAAACAGCAGGGACAGAGAGTACCATCAACAACAGTGTCTCACGTAGTAAACTGAGAGTAGCACAAGTCAGCTGATATGACTTTGTGCATGTGATTGCAGATTAAATCTGAGGCTCCAGCGAACAATAAATGACAGTCTAATATTAAAAAAGGTATTTTTCTACATTGAAAAAGTAGTTTTTATAGTCTAACATTAGCCTAAAATATGTGTAATAATGGTAATTTCCTTAGGTAGCGTTTCAATGAAGCTGTATGATGAATGAGTCACATGGAAGCAATGCAGTGCATAAAGTCCAGCAGATACAGGTCAGAAGCTTCAGTTAATGTCCACATCAAACATCAGAATGGGGGAAAAATGTAATCTCAATGACTTTGACCGTGGTATGACCAGACGGGCTGGTATGAGTGTTTGTGAAAACTGCTGATCTCCTGAGATTTTCATATACAACGGTCTCTAGAGTTTACCCAGAAGGCCAAAAACAAACAAACATCCAGTGAGCAGCAACTGTTTGCCTCAGCAGTTCTGTTGATGAGAGAGAGAGAGAGAGAGAGAGAGAGAGAGAGAGAGAGAGAGAGAGAGAGAGGAGAGAGAAGAGAGAGAGAGAGAGAGAGAAGAGAGAGAAGCAGAGAGAGAGAGAGAGAGAGAGAGAGAGAGAGAGAGAGAGTGTCAGAGCAGAAAGGCCAGACTGGTTGGAGCTGACAGAAATGCTACGGTAACTCGGATAACCACTCTTCACAACTGTGGTGAGAAGACAAGCATCTCAGGACGCAGAACACGTGCAGAGGGCCATGTCAGGATCCACTCCTGTCAGCCACGGACAGAAATGCGAGGCTGCAGTGGGCACAGGCTCGGCAGAACTGGACAGCTGAAGACTGAAAACACGTCCTGGTCTGATGAATCTCTCTGATGAATTCAGCTTCAACAGCATAAATCCACGGACCCAACCTTCCTTGTGTCAACAGTCCAGGCTGGTGTTAGTGTGGGGAATGTTTTCTTGGCACGTTGGGCCCCTTAATACCAATAATCAATTATAGTTTGAATGCCACAGCCTATTAGAGTGTTGTTGCTCACAATTTAGCATCTTCTAATGGCTACTTCTGGCATAAAAAAAAAAGCAAAAGCCGTCTCTTATCGGATTTGTGAACGTGACAATGAGTTCATTGTACTTCAGTGGCCTGCCCAGTCACCAGACTTGAATCCAGCAGAACGCCTTTGGGACCTTGGTAGATCGGAAGATCTGCAGCATGAATGAGCAGCTGAAAAATCTGCAGAAATGATGTGACGCAATCATGTCAACATGTGTTTCCAACATCTTGTGGAATTCATGCCATGAAGATCTGTTTTGAGACCCAACCCAGCATTAGGATGCTAATAAATAAAGTGCTTGGTGAGCGTATTTTTCAGTAGTAAGCATCCCAGTGATATAAGCCACATAGTTAGATGAATGTAAAATGTAAAATGTAATCTCTTCCCAAACCAGAGGAAGCAAAGCCAGCAAAGTGCAGAAACTGTTCCAGCAGATATTTAAGCGCGTGAGGAAAGCTGAAACAACCATGCAGGATAATACGATCAGCTGTGCTCTGGTTGGCTGACTGCACAACAGCACAACCCTTCCATCAGGACGAGTGAATTCATTCAAAATTCAGTTTGCTCTTTTCGAACGCAGAGCGGGGATCCTGCTGTTGAAAATGCTCTCGTTAAATGCGAGAAAAAAAAAAAAAAATCGTTCATTTACCAGATGCGAGACATGGGATGAAACGGGAGGAGAGAGAGAAAAGGACGTGTGTGTGATTGAGGATGGACTGATGCACGTTATGGACGGAGAGATGTGGACAGTAGAGCACACATGCACAGATAACAAAGATGTAATTAAAAGCTTCTTTTTTTTTTCTTCTTCTTCTTCTTTCAGACTGAGCTCATCCTCCTCCCACAAGCCGAAACAAGGACAAACAAGTCGTGACATAACGCTGAAAATGCCACACCTCTTACTTCAACTTGAAATGTGTCACATGACAAATGAACTCCAGCGAAATGCCCGAGCCTCTGCAGAAGAGTGGAACTCTTCATGAAAACATGAGCATCAATCATCACTGAGGCTGAAGAAGTGGACGTCAAACATGCTTCTAGTTTAGTACACTGATCTTTCAGCACTTTCCTGGGATAACACGGGCATCTCAGTACATGTTAAAACTGATTACAGAACCATGCGTATGTAATGGTGTGGTTGTAATTAATGGCAGATTATGACATTTACTCTAGTACAGTATTTAAATAAAATCTAGGGGGTACCTTTGTGTATTATTTCCATTTAATGCTACTTTACAGAGCTTTACAGCTCCGTTTCAGAGGTAAATATTGTGCTTTTTACTCTACCACATTTATTTGACACCTGTGGTTACCAGCTCGCACATTAAAATGATTTTTAACCTATGAAGAGCTAAAATGGATGCATTGGGATGGACTTAACTACAGCATAAAGTAGCTAGTTAAAGTTAACAAACTGCTGCAGTCTAAAGAAACCCATGTATCAAGTGATTCAATTTTTTTTCAGATAAACTTAAGAATCAAAAACTCCCCTCATTCTGGCAAAGGCGAAAACACAGGGCTCTTTTTCTTAGCTCATGAAATATTGACATTTGAGAGAGATACCTGGTTTTCCCAGGACTCAGGACAGAAAGAAATACTGCTGACAGTAATAAGAATCCAAGTGAAAGCTCAGGTTTCATCTGCCAAGTAAGTATATTTATTGATACTTACCAATAAGTACATTTTGCATTTAATTATTCTGTACATTTATTTCAATCGTGCCAGACTTGAACTTGTAATTAAGTATTTTTACATGGCGCTACTACTACTTTTTTTAATCATCAACAATTCATTAAACTAATATTCATTACCACTGATGCAGATAAATATTGATCTTTATATTTTACAGACAAGTCAGAAGTACTTCTAAAATAATAATGGCGTAATAGTCAACACCAGAATACAAATGACATAAAAAACATGTATGTCTTTGTACATGCAGTATGTTTATATAACGTATGCGGGAATGTACAGAGGAAATGTTTTAGTCCGAACATTTAAGAACCACATATGGTAGGATGTGGGAATTTATGACATTTCTTTGCATATAGATGCTAATTTATCCGCCTAGAGGAAAGTCTAGTAAAGTAAGAGGCCACTGTATTTGCGCACAAAGGAGGAAGCTGGGGAGATTTCCACTCTCTGCCCAGCTGAAAAGTGCTGTCTGAATCATACAGGCATCATGGGGAGATAAGGAGTTCATGTTATTACTATACTTTTACTTGAGTTAAAGATCTGAATACTTCTTCTACTGTCCATATTAGGATCTGCTTAACCATGCGAGCTACATTTTTTTTTTCCCCCCAAGTGGAGAAAACTTCCTCTTTTGGCATGTTGACAGAGAATTTCACACAGAACAGCCTCTCGTAAAAGGCCGGTAAGTTTGCTTGTTGAGTCAAATACACCGGGGATACTAGTTTACGCAACCGAGGAACGTAGCTTCCTGTCTTGTTTTGTTTGGATCCACTTCTTCAGCACAGAGGTAAAGTTTGGGACGGCTCATTAAAGCAGCTGGTAGTGAAGCTGACAGGGATTTTGTAGCCTATGTGAATGGATTCCCGCTTGGTATGTTGAGGGGAGGTAAATGTCTGAACCTTTTCTGCTGGTTGTAATGCGTGCAAATCAGAGCAAATTGTTCACCGGAGCTCCATTTTAAAAAGCCTACCACTGGTAAAATGTGGATGAATGGTGAGATATTTTGCTACTGGAAAAAACACAGGGAAAAAGATGGTTTTGAATAAACAGGCCCGTGCACACACGCACAGTGACAACCGCACAGGTACCGTAAATAATGCATTTATTTTTGATTCAAGCTTCCCTACAGCGATTATATCATGAATTAATCTAACGGATCGCACAGGCAAACATGAAGCTATACAAGAAGGGTGATGAACCAAGCATGCAGAACACCTACACACCCGCACACACACACACCCGCACACCCGCACACACACACACACACACACACACACACACACACACACAGAGAAAGCGACAGTAACCGAGCCAGCAGTTGTAATGGAAGTAATGTCAGGGTCATGATGAGCGCTGTAGCACCAAACCTTCCTCTATAATGTCTTTTTCAGCCAACCCATGACAGCGGCTGGCTCCTGTCAACACAATAGTTCCATTAACACACTGGAGCCGGCCAGAGAGCTCACTAACAAACACACTCTGAGGCTCTCCCCTCGTTCTCTGGCCTCTGTGGCCTCGTCATGTAACGTAAACCTCGCGTTCACAGAGCCTGACTGTGGCCTCAGGGGCCCACTGCTCTGTGGTTCAGCGGTATGTCGTGAGCTGCTGGTGGTGGTGGTACAGAAAGCTGACCGGGAGACATCCAGACACTGTCGTTTGATGTAAGTCTAAGCATAAGTGGTTTTGCTTTTTAGCTTAGCTTTTTTTTTTTTTTCTGTTTTCTACATATATACTTTTTTGAAAGGTACAGAGATGAAATAAAACTTAAGGATGCCAGGAAGGCATTCTGGCATCCTAAGAGCTCTCATATTAAAATATTCAGCACATCTCTTGTTTCTGTTGCCAATAACTCAACCCTCTGAGAAAGAGCCAACATCATCTGGGTATCATGGCTTATTTACATTATCAATATCCATTCAATTATTCAATTCCCATCTAAAAAAAGGAAATTGCTCTGAGCCTCTCTATGAAAAGAATATTTTTTTAAATACCCAATGTATTTATTCCACCTTTCTTACAGTACAAAGTCTTAGCATGTTTCCTTTTCACTGCATGTCCAGGTTGCAAATCTTCAATAACTGAATTTAAGGGAAGTTCTATGTTTATGTTAAAAATAAACTTTAGTTTAAATACTTGCAAGCGAACAGTTTGAAATACAATAAAACAGAATGGAAAATACAAGATTTAATTCCATAGATTTGATAAAATCTTAAGTTTTAAAGTCTTAATCTGTCTGTAATACATGTTGGTATAGTCAACAGATGCAGAGCTGATTATCTAAGCCAGTGGATAACAGGAGAGACAGTCCTCTAAGTACGGAGGTGTTAAAGCATTCAGAGCCTTTTAAACAAACAATAAAACATTCAAATTGCTACTCAAATAGACTTGGAGCCAGTGGAAAAAGATTAAAATGTATGAATCTCAAGATTCAATCTGACCCTGATTCTTGGTGTCACAGTTTGATTCAAAATTGATTTTTCCTTCACCAGTTCTTGATTCAATGATAGAAAAGGGGACACTAGGGTTCAGCTAACAGGTCTTTATTAAACTCGCTGTTTTTGATAGAGAAAGAAGCAGAAAAAAGGGATTGAAAGTGAGGAGTTTTTGTTTTTAATTAAATAGTTAACTACATTAAGGAGTCTTCTCAAAGTCTTATGAGAAGTTGAGGTTCTGGAGTGTGTGTGTGTGTGTGTGTGTGTAGGGGTTGCAGAGCGCTGTTAACCTTAACTCTGCTGCACCTCATGGCTGTACAGACACAGTCAACGTTATTAATAACACAAAAGTCGATTTTTGTAATTTATAGAGCAATAACATTTCTTATCATATAATAATGCCGCTCACACCCCTATACAATACAATACCAAGCCTGACTCAATTATCTATTATCAATTTTGGCCTCTACTACACAAACTGAGAATAGTCACATTGTCTTGTACTAACCTGCACCTCGACTTGATTTTGTCTTTGTGATAATGGACAATGTTTCACGAAACTACTCCAATTTCCTTCTCGCGTCTTCAAACCAATCCATCGTTTCATCCCCGTTTGGCCTGACATCTCTCATTATGGGGTTTAATGAGGATAATTAGCCGACCAGCTCTGCGTCTCCTCTGCACACCCTGAGCGTTCGGCGTTCACCTGCTGAGCTCCTTAGTTTTGACGTCTTAAAAAGTTCAAGGACACCGACAATCCCAGGATTGCTCATCCCAAAAACACCCCGCGGCAAACAATTAACTCACAGAGCCTGTGGAGCAGTTGTCCACCTCGCCGACCTCGTAGAGCACCACATCCTTAACGAACACGGCGATGGCCTTCAGGATAAATGACACAAACAGATGGATGTGGATGTAGTTCCTTGTGCAGTGGAGCTTCCTGGGACACATGGTGAGAGATACAAGACTGCAGGTCAAGACAGGAGACAACACACTCACTTATATTCAATAAAGAGGGCTGTTATGCTTATTATCTAATGTCCATGGAGTTAATAGCTTGAAATGAGAGCAAATCAGAGCCCGAATTACCTCATAATTAAGCCTCTTAGTTCCCTTTGTCAGTGTGTGGTTGGCTCTGCTTCAGAGCATAATGAATGCTTTTTATGGTCCTTCACACACCTCCCCAATAAAGATAAGAGGTGGATTTCAAAATTGCGACTCATAAACATTTCGAAATCCTCAAGCATCCATTTTTGAACATCTCTTGATTTCATTATCATGCTTGAGAAGATCAAATGATTAAAAGGGAGAACGAAGCAGTTGTGTCAAGGCTCCCATTAGCTCCGACTGTTTGTTTACGTCGATGGCGGTTGTTCCCAGGGCGGGGAAATATTTAGCTGCGATCTGACTCGAGCCCAATAGCTTAATGTCTCCCTCGGGAGTCATGAAAGTTTCATCTAACCTTATCTCGCAGCCAGGAGAGCTTGTTCACATTCCGTCGCAGCTGTTTAAAACACCAATTGTTGTATGGCCAAATGTCTTCTTCACTTCAAACTGTGACTGTTATTTCATTTAATGCTTGTTTTCTTCAACTGCTGCTGCAATGCAAACGTTAACATTTCTCGCCAGTTCTAAATATGTGGAGCATTTTGTGCCTGAGTGAAATCACAGTCTAAGCGGTCGGACTCAGACTGAGAAAGAGTGACGCTCAGCAGAATGAAAGTGATGAACCATCACATGTTACCATTTAGTTTTTTGTGCTTTGAGTGCAAATGAAGGCTCTTATCTGTATCATTATGCTAGCGCTGCACGGATACAATAGGCTACTGGTCACCACAGACTCTAATTTCCCACAACAGAGATTATTGTTCGTTTTAGCTGAGAATCAATACGTTTACCACAAGTATAATTTCCTGTTGAGAGGTGATGCACCTTGGTGCACAGAAAGAAACATTTTCTTTTAAGGCTCAATTGCTGAAAGCACAAAGAATGAATGACAGCATTTAATCATCTGAAGAACGACTCCAAAGCGAGGCCATTTCTCTCTCAGAGCATCACAGAAAGACTGATGCACATTTTCATCATTAGCAGGGTCGACTATTGTCACGCTCTCCTCTCTCGTTTACTGAAGAATGCAATAAATCAGCTGCAATTAATCCAAAAATCTGCTGCATTACCGCTGACTTAGAACAAAAAGGAGAGCACACACTAAACCTATTCTAAAGTCTTTTCACTGGTTACCTACTAACTTTCATATTGATTTTAAAATTCTTTTATTAAACTGGTGACGCTGCTCTCAGCCATTATGCTTCAAGACACTGGACACGACTTCTAGAGCAGTGGTTGTCAAACTTTTTCACATCAAGGACCCCTACACTGACACAAATTAGACCATGGACGCCCATCTGATCTGATTTTGTCCCAGGGTCCCCGATCTAATAAGATTTTTACTTTGAGATGTTTTATTACAGGAAGTGTTTTAAACCTACGGCCAAAATAGCCATACAGTCCGTCACTGTGTTACTTATTGATGCAATTATAGTGAAAATAAGAAATTCCCCTTTTTGCTGGGGACCCCCAGGAACCCCCTCAAGGACCCCATTTTGAGAACCACTGTTCTAGAGGATTTGAGAAAAATATAGATATTTTTAAATGTAAACAAAAACCCCCATCTATTCAGTCTAACTTACTGGTTTATAATTTTTTATGTTTTTGTTTAAACTTATTTTGTTTATTATCATCATCGTTCTTTGTTTTATTTTGTTTCATAAACATTTTTATTATTGATCATTATTTATTTTATTCTATTATATTAATTTAACATTTTACTGTTTATTTGCTTGAACAGTGAATTGTTTTATTTTTGCATCTGGTCATTTACAGACACATTAATCAACAACAAACCAAGCACTCTGATTTGTCACTTGCTGACTTGCCACTGTGTTACAACACAATATAATGACATCATACAAATTTAAACAGCCCACATATAACAACCCAGTAGACATTCAACACTGGACATGAAATGAATATATGTAAATATATGTACAGCTTCGACTAGATCTGCAACAATTCATGTCCGTTCACACGCTGTATGACCGATTTAGTTCAATAATAAATAAATCATATATAGGCTGTAATCAATGAAAAGAATAAGACTTATCAATCAAGCTGATGATAAAACATCAACCTATGTAACCAAACTATTCATATTCATTCACATTTACACAGGTAGCAGGTGTCCTATACACAGTAGGCGCTACTATGGAATTACCAGCTTGCTAAAACTTACCATTGAGGCCCATTTGTTGAGGCTTATATTTCAACACATTGTGGTTAATCAGCACAAATGTGGCCGACAGTTACCTACTTGTGGATCTGTAGTGTCTTTTAAGAACAGGTGTGACTCTCCCTGTCCCACTGAAACCCCTTCCCATTGTCCCCCCAAGCTAGGCTCACCTCCCACCGCCCTGTCATAACTCTCCTTCAGGCTCAAATCTGTTGGTTGCCTTTAATTTCAGGCGTTCAGTTTTTATTTTATTATCCTGACCTCGGTCTGGCGTGTGCCACTGATTCGCGAGAGCAGAGAAAACTCTCTAGTGGTCACACTTTCACACCTTGTGCAGGAATTGTGGCAAACATGAAAAGTAGCTCTGTGTGACTAACTCAGCAGTAAACAGTGTCGTGGCAGAGGCTGAATATAGGACGCATGAAAAATGCTGCCAAAAAAACAATTTCTTAGAATGTAAGAGAGACTAGAATTAGTCCGGTTGCAGTTTACATGCTGTCTTTAATTTAAGAGACCGTTATTACAGTGGAGTACTGAGGACTTGTACGGAGCTATCAGCTAAACCGATGAGCTTATGGTGGACTCCCGGAGAAACAGGAGGCCCCGTGTCCTGGTGGCCATTCAGGGAGAAGAAGTGAAGAAGGGCAGATCAAGGCATTCCTGAGACCTTGCTTTCAAAAGGCCAAAAATATGTTTTTTGAAGTCACAGCGACTTTGCCACCACCTGATGACCTTTGACCACCGAAATCTAATCAGTTAATCTTTGAGTCCGAGTGAACGTTGGTGCCAAATTTGAAGAAATTTCTTGAAGGCGTAACTGAGGTACTGCAGTCACAAGAATGGGACGTAGCCTATACGTAGTGGAGAACCTGAGAACATAACACCTCGACTGTCGCCAGCAGAGAGGCATAAAAAGAGTGTTTCTGTACTTACATGTAGAACATCTGTCTTCTTTTAGACGTAAAAAGATTTTTGTCACTTCTTTGTAACCTTTTTGGGAGTTAAACGTTATAAGTGATATAGGGGAATGGCCTACGACAAAGAGGAAGAAATCTACAGCATTATGTCAGTCACGCTCGTGTACCATATTGTCTATTCATTCCTTTAGAGTGAAAACGCTGCGCTCTAAAGCTGTGATCTCAGCCACTCTTGATATCAAAAGTGTAATTATTGTTGAGGAGCTTACAATAAAACCCTGACTTGTCAAACAGGAAACATCAATCTCTTTAAACCCACTATACTTCAGATGTATAATCTCCAAACCACTGCAGACGTGCGTCATCGGAAGATCAAGGTTCATCAAATTTGAGTGACAATTAATTTCATTCAGGAATTATCCGTCTCTTTCTTCGCGTCTTTCATAGTTAAACATAAGCCTCCTCTTTCTGCTCGGGTGTGAGGCTGCATTTATCAGAGATGATCAAATCACAGTGAAAAATGTTTGATGTTTGACGTTGAAATGTTGCCTATATAAAATCACGCAGCAGGGAAAATGTCAGTGTGCTTTATGGTAAACTGCTCCTACTAATTCCCCACACAGAGGGTCCTGCAGCACTGACTGACTGCTTCTGTTTCATCCCATCCTCTCATCCTTTTTTTTTTTTTTAAAATAAGTGACCACATGAGGCCAGGAAAAAGATTTATCTACAGTTTGAGGAACCTCTCTGACAGAACACTGCGTTGTATCTCTACGTACCTGAAGATGCAGAGGATCACAATAGCTGTGGTGAGAGAGATGAGGGAAACACTGTGGCCAATGGTGTAGCCAATCTTCACTTGCCAGAAAAACTTGCCCTGCAAAAAAATAAATAAAAATAAATAAACAGCATCAATATAAGTCACGGTGAAGAAAACAGACACATAAATGGCTAAGAGCTTCTTTTGCGTTTACTCAAGGTAATATTTAATCAGAGACCGATTAAATTTCTCAGTGCATGAGTGTTTTCCACAGAGCCTTTGGGATAATATCCAGTAATGTTTTGAAAAGAAAAAAAAGAAAGTTTCGGCCTAGTTGAAACTTGAATGCCATTTGGGTTTGTCTGTCACATCAGTCGCTGTGCATCGAGCTTGTTGAACTCTGTGCCCTGACAGTCTCCATCATAACCGGAGGAGAGGATTATAGTTACAATTTAATTGGAGATTCTACCCGGATGGTATCGTTTTACTTTCAATTCAGGGATTCAAGAGGAATAAAAGAAAAGAAAAAAATCACCCTTTTTTTTTAAACTACTCCCTACACAAAGACATGTGGCCTGGGATTCGGAGTTATGACTTTATACTATTGTAACAGATAACAAGGTTAAGATCAACACCAGAGCTGAGGACGACACCTCTTCTTTCTTATCCTTCATGAAATCTAATACATGCAATGAAAAATCGAAAATCAGCTAGACACCAGCGGGCAACTAACAGTTGTCTAATATACTTTATTAGCATAGTGGATTTTAGAAAGCACTGGCTTCAGTCGCTACATGAACATTAAGATCCTTTCAGAGTAGCATCTGTCATGGCACTGTATGTTTTGCGCTTGATGAAAATGAGATTAAGAGCTCTGAATCCTGTGGCACATGGACTTATCAAGTATGCAGAAAGATGGACAGCAAATTCCTTTTAGAGTACTTCAGCAGCCAGGTCCCTCTTGACTTCCTGCTTCCGTGGATCTGAGAGCAGAATGCCCACCAAGAAGGCTTTTACCACCCTGTACTGCACATCCACTCTTCACCCTGCTCCACTTTCGTCAACACAGACAAGATTAGCTCTCTCTGCATTTAAACTAAACAAAATAAGACCAACATTTGATGTATTTATTCCCTTCCTGTCCCTGAAGGCAACATGAATAACCTCTAATGACTCATAATGCCTGATAACAGAGGCAGGAATTACTAACTGACCCGGCCTTGTCAATGAAAATCAAGTGTGTTGTGCTTCAAAGACATGTGCCTGCTACAGCGGATAAAGAAGGATGTTGACTTAGCCTACTGGTACATTCACTTTCAATGAAGTTAGTTTATTTTTTCTTTTAGGGTCATGGATTCTTTGTATAAGATCTTAAAGGAATAGTTCAACAGTGTGGAAATTCATTAATTAACCTTCATGTCGAGAGTTCAATTATGCTATCACTCGCCTGTCGGTGGGTTCAAGTGGATAGTTAACACTGCAATAAATAATTATGTGTAATGTGAAAGGGAGCGGCCACAGTTACAAACCCACACATACTTATCACGACTCTGTCCTCACTGCCAGGTTAGCCACTAGCTAATGACATAGTGTGGCATTCAGAGGTTTAAGAGCCAGATAAGATAGTTACTGGAGACCAAAATCAGAGTTAAAAAGTCAGGTGACCAGTAACGCACCTCAGAATAAATGCTAATGTGTTTATTATGTTTAAAATTGTGTTTACAGCTTGCTTGCACTTTCTCCAAATCGATGAAAAAAATTTCCACAGCTATTGCAGGTTAAAGTGCAGATATAGCAGACGATTAGCTTAGCCTAGCATAGAGGCAAGGGGGACACAGCTAACGTAGCTGCCGTTTTCCCCTGCTTCCAGTCTTAATGTTAAGCTAGGCTAGGCTAATCGCAAGGTAGCTCCAGCTCCATTCTTCAAACACAGAGGAGAGCAGTATTTCCTCTATCTCTTGGCAAGAAAGCCAATAAGCAAAATGTCTTAGTAAAGTATTCCTTTAATAAAACTCAACAGATTTCTTGAGTTTCCCTCATTTGAAGCCCTAATATGGACATTCAAACTGTTTTAGATTGTTGGTACATCAAGTCATGTCACAAAGCCAGTTGAGGGGATTCATGAGAAAAACACAACAAAAAGGATAGAAAGAAGGCACAGAAAAAACACGAGGGAACACTTGAGTCGTGAAACCAACAATCAGTAAAGCCACTTTTCTGATAGACCCGACTACACCCACCCACCGAGAAAAATAAAGACATTCTCGTCCCATCCTTCCTGCCCACTGGCTCTTCATTTGGTTTCCCACTGTGTCACTGTAGGACCATCAGGTATCTGTCCCGCTGCCTCTTATAGACTATGGCGGTTTACTTACATCGTCGCTAGTGCTGTTGAGATTGTATCCACAGTTCACTGCAATGTCAATAGGCCTCATCTCAGTCCAGCCGTTTGCTGTGCAGGTTTTGGAGAGATTACCTGGAGACACAGATGACATAGAGAGGTCACCCGGGCCACCCAGGCTGTAGATTTCTCTTTTATCTCCTCACCAGTTTAATTTAAAATTGACGCAACACTCCATGATCTGTGTGACATACTGTGACTTTGAAACTGACCTCATACATTGGTTAGGTCACTGCAAACAGCTAGAAGACCACAAGCTCCAGAAACCACCGTGCGACTCTCTCCCACTAATGTGAGCCGTTATTGACTTGTGCATTACCTGTGCCTGCAGAAAAGCACTTGGCTGTTACAGACGCTGACATTCTGAACCCCATCTTGTCTACTTGTACATCACTGCTCAATATGTTACATTAATAAGATAGGATATATATATATATATATATATATATAAAAAAATTGCTAAAAACATAGGTTGTCAAATACAGTATTATAAAACATACTGTTCATATAATTTCCCCAGCATTAGAAATAACCTGCTATATTTCTAAACCTAAAAAAGACTGTTTGTACTTAATTGCAGCTGAAATGCTCTGTGAAAAGAGCACCAGAAATAGTCCGATATTTGGTTTATTCATGGGATTTATTCATGGTTTATTCATTTGCGGGGCATCAAAGGTTCATGTAAATAGCTTAACCGGAATGAGACCTTAACCACAATGTGACCGACAGCTAAGTTGCTCTGTGCGTGTAAATGTAGCCAATTAGGACCAAATGTTATCATATGCAGGTAATGAGCAGTGGGGGAAAGAACGTCCAGTAGGAGGTCGGTATTTGCTCAGTCAGAGAAAAGGTCATGTGATTGAAATGTCATGTTTTTTTTAATCTCTGTTGTGGCTGTATTTGAGCATCATGCTGGGATGATGTGAATTCTCCCTTATCTCCTCCTCTCATTTTATCCTAAATACCTTCCTCTATTAACTAAACACACTTTCATGGATGTGTAGGTTTGCTGCACGCACACACACGCACACGCACACGCACACGCACACACGCACACGCACACGCACACACACACACACACACACACCCAGCTTCAGTATCATTAAACCAACATCCTGCACTTTCCTCTGCTGTCACCAAAGAACTTTTCAGAGGTTTTTGGAGGTGGTGCTGTAGGAAGGCGTGGGCTGAATTCTCCTGAGGCTCCTGAATGAAACATTGAGTAAAGTAGATGTGAAGTCATCTTTCAGGCCCTTGGACTCTGTGTTCATTTGTAGTCTGAATGGTATGCTACCATTCTTTTCAACAGATTTATTTCTGCATTGCAGAATATTGCGGAAGGGAAGACAGGGGGAGGAAGGAGGAGGAAAAAAAAAGAAAAAAAAAAAGCACCTGATAGCAAAGTCACTGCACTTGAATTCAAGGCTGTTTCACAGACGGACAAATCTTCTTGATAGAATATTTGAACAGACTTAATCATTTTAGTGCTCGAGTCTTTGTTTTCATGTGCACAGCAGCATGTCTCTGTAAGTACTCTCTGGACCAGGTATAGGCAGGTAAACATTAACCACAAAGTGCAGCTGAAGTCGATGGGAATGTCATTAGTATTAAGTCATAAACTGAAGTATTGGAGAAATCAACAACTACAAAAAACTGAAAAACTATTCAACATCTACATTTCTAACGTTACCATTCAATAATTTTTGTCTTTTACTCTTTAGTTGACAATCTTGCTACATTTTTTCTATGAGCTTTTTTCTTTTGTTCTTATAATTTCTTTACTCAGGCAGAGACGAAGCCACAATATTGTATCCACAAATGACAGAGAAGAGCAGAAGACTGCCACCTCCGAGAGCCCCATTACTACTGCTAACAGCTTAGTCTGTGCATTCTCATGCAGGAGGAGCATTTCATCAAATTAAGTCCTAAATGATGCGGCTCCTGATTCAAGCAGCAAGATTCTCTCATGTGTAACAAAAAAAAAAAAAAAAAGCAGAAGAGGAGCTCTGTCATTGGCCACAGCATCAAGCCATTTGCAGAGGAAAAAAAATGACCCTGCCATGCTGAGTCACGGTCACCTGGGACAACACGTCTTTTCACACAGGGTGCATGCTCAGTGGTAACTCTAACCTAAAAGTACAGTGCAGTAAACCTCCGGTCATTCCTGCGGTGAATTAATGTGCCCTTAGCAAATAACCAGCAGAGGACAAACATCATTTTTTTTTGTAATTATCTCTCACAATAAACATCCCTGTTTGTTTTTGTCTGGTCATCTCTGTGAAAAAACAGTCAGTGTCGACTGCAGCATATCCAGCAGTGCGCCGAGATACAGGCTGCGCCTGCAAACCCTTATGATTCAGGTGAGGCACTTGATTGATTGCATGTGTAGCATGAGTGATGACGGACATGTTTTCAGATTAGACAAATAAAGTTGGTGTTGCACAGGAGTGGCATCAGCTTGTTGGATATTGATTTTTTTTTTTGGATATTGCATATTTGTCAGTGTCTGCCTGAAAAACTCAATAAGTGCAAAAAAAGACACTTGGAAACTAAAGTGTTCGGATACCTGGACGTTTCCCTCAGCAGTACTGCAGGTGCTCCCGGTTTGGTGCCGACTTTGAGATCAGACAATATGTCAAAGAGTTGAGTGATGAAATGATATTTAGTTGGAAAAAAAAAAAAAAAAGAGTATACAGCCATGCTTGCTCCTCTATGAGGCTGTTCTTAAACACAGCAGAGCTTTGAGCTAAATGCTAGCATTCTGATGTTTAGCGGGTGTGATATTTACCACGTTTACTACTGTAACTTAGCTTTTTAGCATGCTAACATTTGCTAATTAGCACTAAAGATAAAAGGTATTTGATTTCAAACCAAAGTATTGGTCACATTTAAAATTTCATATGATGATGTTTGGTGATTCTCTGACATTTCACCTAAGTCTAAAACGCTTTGCACAGAAGGAATCAGGAAATTTAGAGCTTTCAGACGACGTATAATTTGTCAAGGTGGTTTGATGATTGAGTTCGGTGCAGACCAAAACACACCTAAAGTAGCACCAGGGTCAAAGTGTGGGAGTTTTTCACTTTGCCTTTTGAAATAACTACAAGCGCTTTTGATGTCTGGCATGGCCGGCGAGTGTTAAGAACTAGTTCAGAGGAACCATTAACACGCCCCGCCTGTGAAGTTTTCAGTTAAGGCCGTCATTTCAGATACTGATGACATGTAAATTTACCATAAGGTCATCTGATGCACAGAGACGAGATTAGATTAATAGATCAATTATAAAACATAGATGTGATAAAATACATGAGACAGACGGATGTCATTTCATGTTGCTCCCCCAGGTCATATCAGTCAGACTTTACAAGTGTCCTCTTAACCTGGAAATGTCAAAATGGTGGAACCTCAGCAGACGTATCAACCTGCCATCAGAGCCCATTTGTGTGTCTGAGACTCAGAGTGAGTCAGAGAGGAAGGAAGACAGAATAAAAGGAGAAAAAAGAAAAAGAAAATAAGAGCTAAACCAGATAAAATGAAGTTTTACTTTTGTTTGTGAAGTTGTGGATTTAGAAAGATTTATCCCTGAGCTACAGTCTCAGTCCATGTCTGTACATCTCTGCAGAGGAGTTAACCTCAAGCTGTTGTCGTCTCAATTTATTTGCCTTGAGTTTGAGGGTAAATTCCTGCACTATTTGCATGCACAGTGTGTCATTCTTGTTAACAGCCCTGTCTTCACAGGGGGTAATACCATCAAACCTTTACTGAGCCTCCTTTTCCATTATTGAGATTTTATGGAGCAGTTTATCTTCACAACAGGTTTCCAGAAATTCACAGAGCACTCGTTCAGTCACTCTATCCTAGCAGCCACCAATCTCCCTATAACTTCACTGTTACCGGATACTTCAGACATCTTGAAAACACAGTATACGTCCTGTAGGCATTTCCACACATGGGTGCAGAGAAGTGGCTCGGAGGGATCTGTCACAAAACTTCCAACAAGTCAGATATTTGACTAAATGTGAATTCCACAGCTTTAAAAGTCCAAGTCACTTCTGATGATGCTACTGTGACGTCTGCCGCAGCCGTTCAGGTAGCGGGAAGGCTGCCACACCCAGCGCTGGCGACCTGTCCTCCAGGCGTGATGGTAACCGCTTTATCAAGCCAGATGCCATTGGTTCTTTTTAAAAACACCTGCGCCCTGTCAGATTCTCTCGCCTTGCCAATGCTGACAGTTGTCCACGATTGCATGTTGTGATTTGGTGCTGCCGCAGAAGAACAGGGCCAGGCAACACCCCTCACCCCCTTCTGTACTACTGGAGCTGCTTGTATCTAAACATACACAAATTCTTTCAGAGAAATCGAGCGGCAACTATGAAATCAAATCCTCAAAACTAAAACAAGAAAATAAAGACTATCACAGCTGGCGAATTGATCTGCCACCATGATGCCTTGCGATTAAGGAGTTATGGTTAGAAAAAGATGAAGGTCGTGGTAAAAAGAAACCAATGTGGCGGCTGGTTGAAGATGAGATACGAACAGTGGTCAAGTCACACACTTAACAGTCTCAATCTGCACAAAGGATAAAGCTGTGGGGCCCATGCCTGATAGTCTGGCGTTCACTTTTTACTTTAATACAGAAGAAACTTTAAAGATAAAAGGTTTAGGAATGGAATCATGACAAGAGCAATATTGGCTTTTTCTGTTTCTGATTTCTACTTGAATGTAGTGCTGCGTTTTGTGCATGATTGTAGCTGCAAAGTGCATAATCATCTACATGAGCATTTATTCGTAGTCATCTCTCACAGCGAAAGATTAATTGCCGTGACGTGTGCGTAGAAGTGGACTGGTAAAGAAAAACATCCACTCGTTGCAGAGTGGCACAGAAATAATGTCTGGCTGACTGTTCTCATGCTAAAGAAGTAATCTACACTTCATGTTTCGGTTTTGGTGTATTGACCCTTTCTACAGCATGTTAAAGACACATGTTTGCACAGTTTAAATGTTGAAATTCAGCAGAGTTCAGAAGGAAATCACAGCAAAATTAAACTGTTATGATTATTAAAAAGGTTGACAAG